CCATATACAAATGCATGAATAAAATGACTGCCCAGATATAAGATAATTTCTGGGATAATATGGTAATCTTTTTTGTTTTTACACCACTGACCTGAAAGGCAGTAAGATGGTCCTATTTTAAAAATGGATTTGAATAGGTCCCACACCGGGGCTCAGCCTGTAATCCCAGCACTTTGGGAGATCGAGGTGGACGAATCACTAGAGGTCAGGAGTTCGAGACCAGCTTGACCATCATGGTGAAACCCCGTCTCTACTAAAAATACAAAAAATATTAGCTGGGTGTGGTGGTGGATGCCTGTAATCCAAGAGTAAAACCATATACTTGGGAGGCTGAGGCAGAAGAACTGCTTGAACCTGGGGGGTAGAGGTTGCAGTGAGCTGAGATTGCACCACTACACTCCAGCCTGGGCAACAGAATGAGACTCTATCTCAAAAAAAATAAAATAAATAAAATAAATGGATAAGAATAATCAAAACAGCTCTAGCTTTGCAAAAAGCCTGTTTTTATGGGAGACATCAGGAAGGACTTATGTCAAATGTAAAAGGGATTTTAAAAGGAATTTTAATAAGCATTCCAAAAGATGTAATTTTTTTTCACTTTTATGACATTTAAATAAAAATATAAAATTAGGGCCTCATTGCCTTGTTATCTGACTTTTTAAATATGGAGGCCCTGTCTACCTTATTTGCTTATTTGGATTATCTTTCTCCAACAACACACAAACAGACAAAACATCTAGAGAATGTGATAACTACTTTTTTTGTTCAAAGACAGGGTCTTACTCTGTTGCCCAGACTGGAGTGCACTGGCCAATCATAGCTCACTACCACCATGAACTCCTGAGCTTGAGGGATCCTCCCGCCTCAGCCTTCCGAGTAGCTGGGACTACAGGTGCTCACCATAACGCCAGGCTAATGTTTTACTTTGTTTGTTGTTTTGTAGAGACAAAAATCTCACTTTATTGCCCAGGCTGGTCTCAAACTTCTGGCTTCAAGTGATCATCCCACCTCGGCTTCCCAAAGGGCTGGGATTATAGGCATGAGTTACCATACTCGTCCTGTGATAACTACTAATGTCTTCATACATGATAAAGCTCATGATCAGAGTTCAAACAACTTACTTTCCTTTATCCTTCAACCATTCAGGGTTCTTTTCTTCTTCTTTTAAATCGCAAAGTTCAGGAATGTCAGTATTCATTGCTCTTCGTGCCTCAGCTTGTTTGTGTAGCCACTAGAATGAGAAAGAAGTCCTATGAAGAATAAAAAGGTCTTTTTTTTAAATTAACATTTCCTTTTAGATTTTCCATCTTCCTCCAGTGGATGGAAATATTATTTGTTATGCACTGAATGTTTGTGTCTTCCCCATTTCTCCTCCAAATTGATATACTGAAGCCTTAACCATCAATGTGAATCAGTATTTGGAAGTGGGGCCTCTGAGAGGTAATTAGGTTTAGGTCATGAGAGCCTCCAGAATGAGTTTCCTATCCTTATAAGAAGAGAAAGAGATCAGAGCTCCCTCACCCACTATGAGGACACAGTGAGAAAGTGCTTGTCTACAGGTTCTGATGAGGGCTCCTACCAAGAACCATGCTGGCACCCTGATCTTAGATTTCCCAGCCTCCAGAACTATAAGAAATGACTCTTCATTGTTTAAGCCACCCAGTCTATGGTATTTTATTTATAGCAGCCAGAGCAGATTAACATACTATTTGATAATGGTAACTGTTTTTTTTTTTTTTTTTTGTCTTGCTCTGTCACCCAGGCTGGAGTGCAAGTGGCACAATCTTGGCTCACTGCAACCTCCACCTCCCAGGTTCAAGTGATTCTCCTGCCTTAGCCTCCCGAGTAGCTGGGATTACAGGCGTGTGCCACCATGACCAGCTAATGTTTGTATTTCTAGTAGAGACGAGGTTTCACTATTTTGGCCAGGCTGGTATTGAACACGTGACCTCATGACCACCCACCTCGGCCTCCCAAAGTGCTGGGATTACAGGCATGAGTCACCCCACCTGGCCGACGATGGTGATGTTAATCTTGCAATATTTATACATTGTTACACTTTTTTTTTTTTTTTTTTTGAGACATAGTCTCACTCAGTTGCCCAGGCTGGAGTACAGTGGCACGATCTCGGTTCACTGTACCCTCCACCTCCCGGGTGCAAGCGATTCTTCTGCCTCAGCCTCCTGAGTAGCTGGGACCACAGGCATGCACCACCACGCCCAGCTAATTTTTTGTATTTTTAGTAGAGACGGGGTTTCACCATATTGGCCAGGCTGGTCTTGAACTCCTGACCTTGTGATCCACCCGCCTTGGCCTCCCAAAGTGCTGGGCTTACAGGCTTCAGCCACCATGACCGGCCTTAAACTTTTTTTAAACCTCATTAGCTGGTTGAAATATAATAGATAGAAGTTTCTAGCCAAATTTCTTGTTTTCTGGGAGTTCATGTGATATTATTATTATTATTTTTCCTGAGATGGAGTCACACTCTGTCCTCCAGGGCTGGAGTGCAGTGGCATGATCTCAGCTCACCGTAACCTCCGCCTCCTGGATTCAAGCAATTCTCCTGTCTCAGTCTACTGAATAGCTAGGATTACAGGCATGTGCCAGCACGCCTGGCTAATTTTTGTATTTTTAGTA